TTCAGCCCTTAAAGATGATGATGGAAATGTGATTTCCCAACCTGAAGCTCTATCTGCACATGTCACAGGATTTTATCAGACTTTATTCACGAAGAAAGATGGTCTCAATTTTGATTCTCTCCAGGATTTTCCAAAAATGGTTTCCGATGAAATGAATCTGGATCTTGACAGAGAGCCTTCTGTCGAAGAGATTAAAATTGCTGTTTTTGACCTTGGACCATCAAAATCTCCTGGACCCGATGGTTTTGCTGGGTCTTTTTATCGTAAGTTTTGGAGCAAAGTTGGTCCGGATTTTAGTAATGAAGTGATCCGCTTCTTCAGAACCTCGGTTATGCCACAGGGATGGAATGATACTCATATTGCCCTGATCCCTAAGGTTCTTGCTCCAGACACAATCTCACAGTACCGCCCCATTAGCTGTTGCAACTTCAGATACAAAATCATTTCTAAAGTTATCTCTAATCGAGTGAAGAAATGGTTGCCGGGATTGGTTTCTGAGATGCAGGCCGCATTTACAGGAGGTAGACTTATTCAGGATAATGTTATTATTGCTCATGAGATACTTCATAACTTCAAGAATCGTCGCTATGGGGATTGGGACATGATGGTGAAGTTGGATATGCGAAAAGCATATGATTTAGTGGACTGGGACGGCCTTGAATACATTCTGGAGGCTTATGGGTTTTCGGAGAAGTGGCGCGGCTGGATTCGAGCGTGCACCAGGACGGTCAAATTCTCAATCCTACTCAATGGAAGTCCTACTGATCTTTTCTCTCCGTCTCGGGGTATTAGACAAGGTGATCCCATTTCTCAGTTTCTGTTCATCCTTATGTCTAATGCATTGTCCTTCTTAATTGAGAAAGGGGTCTCTCGAGGGGACATCCGAGGCATCAAGCTCAACCAGGACTGCCCGCGGATCTCCCATTGTTTGTTTGCGGAAGACACAGTCATCTTTGGCAAAGCTAGTGTCCTGGAAGCTGAGCGTATTATGGATATCATTAAGGTTTATGGGGATACTACGGGGCAAGAGATCAATGCATCAAAGTCCTCCATCTTTTTTAGCAAGAATACTCCTCATGGTATCCGTTCCCTGGTGACTAATAAGTTTGGATTTCCGCCTTCGGTTTGCCACGACAAGTACTTGGGAGTTCCAACTGAATGGGGTAGATCCAAAAAAGAAACTTTTGGGTTTCTTCTGGAGCGTATGGAAAAGCAAGGTGATTCTTGGAAGAGCCTTATGTTATCCCCTGGAGGCAAGGAAGTACTGTTGAAGGCAGTAATCCAAGCCTTGCCGACCTACATCATGAGTGTTTTTTTGCTACCTCTTAGCTTAACCAACTTAATGGACTCCATACTGAAGCGCTTTTTTTGGTCGGGATCCATGAGGAAGAGGGGTATCCATTGGTGTAACGCAAGGGATTTGGAAAAGCCTAAAGATGAAGGAGGGTTGGGTTTCAAGAACTTCCACCTTTTCAACCTTGCGCTTGTTGGGAAACAGGTGTGGAGACTTTTTGATAATCCGGATGCCTTGTGGGCTAAGCTTTTAAAGGGGCTCTACTTTCCCAATGGGGATTTGTTTACGGCAGTTAAAGGGAGGAAAAGCTCATGGATCTGGAATGGTTTTTGCGAGGTCAAGGAACATATGAAGGATGGCTTGTTGAGGGGGATCATGTCTGGGGAGGAATCCCAATTCCACTGTGACCCTTGGCTACCGTCCATTCAAAATTTCAGTTTATCTCATCTGGGGTTAGAGCCGTCCCGTGTTAGTGATTGGATTGATCCAACTAATCGCAGTTGGAATATGGATGCAATCAGAAATCTGGTGCCTGAAGAGATTGTCCAAGCTATTGCTAGAGTTCCGATCGGCCCCTGTTCTGCGCAGGATCGGTGGATTTGGAGGTTTACAGATTCAGGAGGTTACAGTGTTAAATCTGCTTACCGTCTGTTTAGGGAGGTGAGAGATTCCCCTCAAGCCTTTGATGCAGGTTCCTCTCCTCGCCCAAACAAGGATGATTGGAAGTGGTTGTGGGATCTTTCCTTGCCCCCTAAGCTTCGGTTTTTCATTTGGAAGAGTGGTAAGAATGCAATGGCAACACGAGCGAGGTTGTTTGAACGCAAGTGTGCTTCTGACCCAGTGTGCCCAGTGTGTGAGGAGCATGTTGAAACGATTATGCACTGCTTGTTCCATTGCAACAAGGCATTTGAGACGTGGTCTAGGGTTGGCTTGTTGGAGGTTCCCCCTTCTGCGGATACCAGCTTTGCGGACTGGTTTTTTCCTCTCAGAGACAGCTTGACACCTGACCAAACCAACAAGATTGTGTGTACAATGTGGAATATCTGGATTGCTCGTAATGGAATGGTTTTCGAAGGTAAGGTGTTCTCCCCATCCACTGTGGCAATTCTAGCTGATAGAGAGTACCGAAACATTAAGGAAGCTATGGCCTCGTCCTCAGCCTCTCCTTCTTCGTCAAGATCAGCTGGTTTGCCGTCTCAGCCTGGGAGATCTCGGTCGACGGCCTTATCACCGCCTGGTCCTTACAGTAAGGTTGTGCATTGTGACGGTTCCTTTGTCTCTGATGCACAGGAGGCGGCGTATGGGATTGCTATTGCTAACTCCCACGGTCAGGTTATCGACGGAAGGGCTGAGAGATTCTTTTGTTCTTCTCCTATACAAGCAGAAGCTTATGCGATTCTTAATGCAGTTATCCTGGCTGCTCAGGATCCAGTCCCAACGTGTGTCCGATCCGATTGTCAGAGGTTGACGATTGCGTTGAGACAGGATCCGAGCATGTGGCCATGGCAATGCCGGGCAACTCTTGCCCGGGTTGTTTCCATTCTTTGCCTCTCTCCTTGGATCTCGGTTGAGTTTGTCCCTCGTCGATTCAATGCCATGGCTGATTGGATTGCGAGGAACTCTCGTCTCGATCTCCTTCCTTCAGAATGGATTGTCATTGCTGATCTTGTCGTTCCATTATTGTAATTGTAATGCTTCTCACTTGCGTGGGTTTGGAATGAAATGATGATTGCTATTGTAAAAAAAAAAAAAAGCTGAAGTGTCCCTCTACACATTAAAGTACTTGGGAGCTCAATAGAAAGTCTAGAAGACCATTTTTGAACCTGACCAAAAGGCTATGCCAAAACTGGGAAACTACCTGAAAATGGCTAAGTCTGGCAACGTGTTTGTCAAGCCTACTTTGGAGCTCAATTTGAGAAGCATGGATGCGAGTCAAGTCTAGGGGCCTCTACCACGTTAAATTACGTATTTTATTACACAAAGACAAGGCATTGGATGAAATATTGAATATCTTTAAGGCTTCAAACAAAAGGCTCGAAGTTGCTACGAAGGTTGTTTTTCTGGCAGCTTGCTTGTGCTCGAAGTCTGCCAGAAAAACAGCCTTCGTAGCAACTTCGACCCTTTTGTTTGAAGCATTACAGATATCCAATCTTTCATCCAATGCCTTGAATTTGTATAAAAACATACCTAATTTAACATGGTAGAGGCTCCTAAACTAGACTCGCATTCATGCTTCTCGAATTGAGGTCGACCGAAAAGTGCAAGTCACCGTGACATGCATGTCACCGTAGGCACACCCTAATTAATATTACTCATTAATGATTCTCTTTCTCTCTCCCCCTTGATCTTCTCCATAACCCTCTCTCTCCACTACAATTAAAAGGAAATTCAATTACTTTAATTAAATATTATTATTTAATATTTAATAAATTCGAACTTAATATTTTTTAAAATGAAATTTGAAAATTAAAAATATATGCTCTCTCTCACTTCGTGGCAACTTGCAATACAGTATTAACATTTTGCAATGACTAAATGACATTATCAACATTTATGAAATGAATCGTTATTATTATACCTCATCATTATTAACGACTTCAATATACTTATCATTTCCTTACAATTACATTATTAACAATTTTGGATAAATTTTTACTGTTTTATAGTTTCGTCATCAACGCCTATGAATGAATCATTAAAGTTATGTAACATAGTCATTAATAGTTTGAATAACAATATCATTGATTTACAACATCTTTAGTACTAATGATTCACATTTTCACATCATGTTTATAACTATCTAGTCATGGTCTCTTCCAATGATTTCTAATGACATTATTAACGTTTTATGATCAATTAATATTGCTTTACATTATCATTCTCAATGATCATAAAGCACGATACTAATTTTTAACATCTTGGGTACTTGTGACATAGTGCACCTGTGTGATTCAGTCAAACAAACATTGTCCAGAAAAATATTAGCTCAAGCAAGCCAACATTCACGCCTCAACACCAAACTTTTAATAACAATACAATAAATCATTGATAACGAAAAGTATTTCGTTGAAAATAAACACAAAACATCAATGTAAAAATGTCAGACTTCAACATTATAAATGACATCAAACTTTTAATAAAATATTAAAAACCATTAATATCGAATGATCAAGTCACAAATAAGGAAATAGATTTTTGTAATTTAAAAATATTAATAATATTCAGATACAATGTTTAATGTCAAATAGCACTAAAAATGCATTAATAAGTGACATGTGTTTAATGGATAATGCATCCAAAAACTTTGATAATGATAGCAACTAATGATTGTTAAGTACCTTATTAGATATTATTAATATCTTATTTTCAAACATTGATAATGCTTATACACATCTATTAATAATGACACCAACTACGTTACTAACTTAGACTGAAAGATTAATAACCATAGTTATATCATTAAACTTAAATTCACTTTTGATAATGTCATAAACAAACGAATATCTAACAAGTATGCTTCTTGATAATGACATTTGACAAAGTTACAAACATCAACGAAAATATATTAATAATTCGAATCACTAAACATAAGCAATCTTACAAATGAATTAAATTTTTGCTAATGGTTGTATTGTGCTTGAAAAAAATATTGATAATAGCACTTCAAATGATTATAAATCATTGCGAACCAAATTGATAATACGATATAATAGTAAATAAACTTCAAGTACCAACAAATTGAAAACACAATTTCACTTTTGCTAATGTTACAAACAAAACATAACATACATGTCACAGTAGCAAAGTCCTATTAATTATATTTTCATAATATCTTTTTATTCCATCTAACTATCAACTACTAACCCCTCATTAACTACCTAATCTAGTATCAGCCAATAAAAATGGTTTAAGAACCTCCTTAAACAATGAGGTTTAAGGACCGGATCCAACCCGAAATAAAAGAGAAAGGAAAGCTCGCCCAACAACACGGCCAACGCGAGGGATGGTTGTGCGCGGCACGAGCGCCTGGTTGTGGTGACTCGTGTGGATACCTGAAGACTTCGGGTGAGTGAGTTTTTTTTATAACCCAACAACATCCCCACAAATACCGCTTGAGCAATACAAAGCGAGACCAAAAATGAGAATTCACCTATTTAAATTTTTCGGACCCTCCACTAAGATCCATATTAAATGTCTCAGAGTAGGGGTGTGCGTTCGGTCGGTTCGATTTAAACCGAACCGAATTAGGACATGCCGAATTTCCGATTTTTCCTGCACCCCAACCGAATTCAAACCGAGCTATAATTCGGTTCGGTTTGGTTTAACTGCCCAAAACTGAAATTCATAACTGCTGCCAAATTTTTGCCTGCTGCCTTCTGGTCTGGTTCGCTGGAACTGGAAATTTTTTGCCTGCTGCCTTCGGAGTTGGAGTGTAGGAGTAGAGGAGGCGAGTGTCGAGTGATGGCAGTCGGAGTCAGCAGAAGATTCTGTGCGGCTGGAGGAGACTTGGCGGCCGGCAGGTGCTTGCCTGGGTCTGGGTGGGATTGTGGGAGCCTGGGAGGCGGAGGCCGGTGGGTCTGTGTCGGCGGGTGCTCGCCGAGGGTGAGGATCGCATCGAGAGGGAGAAGAAGCTGCTTCTCATGGTCGGGCCGTCGACGTCGCGGGGCTCGGGCAGTGGAGGAGGTCGGAGGAGACGAAGTCGCAGTCGGCAGTGCCTGCGTCGGCTGCTTCCCTTTCCGGCTTTCCCTTTGCGGATTCGTCTAGGGTTAGGAGTCGTAGTCTCACAGGAGCCAGAGAGTGAGACGATCGATTTGTTGAAGACTTGAAGAGGCCCCCATTGGCCAGACGTAGCAGACGGCAGCAAGGAGCAGGCTCAGGCCACAGACAGAAGCCCAATCCAATTTGTTGGACTGGGGCGGAGTGAGCTGAAAAAAGAAGGATGGGCCGCGAGCATTGGGCTGGGATTCGGGCAGGTGGGTTGTATTTTCGGAATTCGGTCGGTTTTTCGGAATTTCGGTTCGGTTCAAACAAACTTGAGTTCTGAAATTTACCCTATTTACTTCCGAATTTCGAATCTAATTACAATTATTTTGGTTTCATTCGGTTTTTATTCGGTTCAGTAAAACCAAACCTAATGCCCACCCCTATCTCAGAGAACACCATAACATGCTTCAGTGGGGGGTCAAACACGAGATCTGCCACTTCCCGGAATGAGCGCCCACTAAGGATTTCGCTCTTAGCCTATGTAACCTTTGACCTTGGGTGAGTGAGTATTAAACCCCCCAGTACACACTTCTCCACATTTAATTGATGCATTATAGTTGGGTTTGTACGAAAGAGAAAGCTAATTCTAGGTTCCAATCTTCTTCTTTATTATCACTAACCAACGTAATATATAGATTTACATCAACGAAATAACTTGCGGAAAAGGAATAACAATTATAACAATAATCGTTCCAAACGTCTCTTGAACGATGATAGTCTTGATCGTATAAAATAATCGGATCAATCGGTCCTTGATCAACATAATATCGTTGATTGTATATATCAACATCCAGCCCAACCAACGATAGAATAACAACAACATAAATCAATTAGTATATAAATTAAATAAACCATTATAACAACAACAAAAATTGGGTAAAATGAGTACGTACCGCTTGATAATCATCATAGTAAATACCCTCTTCTTGGATAAAATCGGCCATTTTTTCAGAATCCGGACAGAGATTCGACGGTTTTTTAGTGAAAACCAAAGAAATTTTTTTTTGAAGGCAGATCGGACTTAGCCGCAACCAACAAAACAACTACTTCCAAGGTTTTTGGGTGGGGAGGGGTATGGGTAGAGTGAGGAACTTAGAGAGAGAGAGAGAGAGGAGAACGGGGATTTGGTGTGCGGGAAATGGGAGGAAGGGGTGGGTTTATATAGGGACGAAACCGCGTGCTGGAGGGGCGGTTTGGTCTTTTTACCCCACGCAAAACTGTGCTTCCAACACGCGGTTTACGTTTCCCAATGCGCAAACTGCACTTCATGGCAACGATTTTTGTGAGCGACGTGGATTGCTGCGCTGCCAGGCGGTTAGGCTGTCAGATCGCCTGCCCATCGCGCGGTTGTATGGCCCGCCATGTGGAGGCGCGTTTTGACAGCTACGAAGGATCAAACCGCCCCTTGCCCGCGTGATAGACCGTCATTTACACATGTTTTTACCCCCATTCTTACACCGTTTGAGGTGTTGATTCTCGTGTTTTAGGCCGATTTCACGCTAGGTTGTGCTTGTTTGTGATGTTTCAGGTCCTAGTACGTGAATGAAGGCTTAGGAGCGAGTCTGGGGTCGATTGGACGAAGAACGGACGAATGGCGAGGTTTTTTGGGAGCTGCACGGGCAGACCAGGGAGGCTGCACGGCCGTGCACGTGAGCAATATGGCCGTGCGCCTTATGCCGAGGACACGCACGGGCAACCCCTGAAGCTCGCACGGCCGTGCACCCTGGCCGTGCGAGAGGGCTGAAGTTCGACTAAATGACACGCTGCGTTTTGAGTTGCACGGCCAGAATGGTGATATGCACGGCCGTGCACCCTGGCCGTGCGAGTCGGGATTTCCTGGTTTTAAGCCAAATTCCGAACCAAAGAGGAGGGAGAGCTGGGTTTTTGGATTCCAAACACCCAAGGGACGAACCCTAGATAGAGAGGGCGATTTGAGGGCATTCTTGGAGTAGAGAAGGAGGATTTCTTCGCCTTGGAAGCTCGAGGAACAAGCCCGGACTTGAAGACTGATCATCTGAAGATTCTTACTGCAGTCTCTCTCTTCTCTATGGAGTAACTTCCCTTCACTTAGGTTTTGAGGAACCCTAGCTATGTTTGTTTGATTGGATGATTGTATGAGTACTCTGACTGGATAATCGTGAGTTCATATTCAATCTATGCATGTTTTCATGATTCAATTATGCTTTAGTCGAGATTATTGATTCTGCTTTGATCCTATGAGAGGGAATACTTGATTAGGTCAATAGAGCACCATAGATTGATAGTAGTGGATCGATTGCTTTAGTCGAGGGTTGATTCACTGCTTTGTATCGATTGAGAACCTCTTTCGATAGAGGGAGTCTAGTTCAGAACGCCTTGATCAGTTGTTCTAGAGAAGGATACGTCCCTCTAGGCAATTGACTCAAGAGGGCCTTGTTCCTTTAGTCGAGACTCAAGGTCTACTCAAGGATTCTCCGCATTGTGAATGAAAGTGAAACAAGTTGGAAATCATCAATCGTTAGTCTGGCTAGTGGCTAGGGGGAATCATACCTAAGTGAGTTCCCAACCTGTAATTAGATTAACTTTAACTGTATTTTGCTAGAGTAGTTTTAGTTCTTTCATCTTAATCTGATTTGCTAAATAATAAACTGAAGCTGAGTAATAGTAACTCTAGAGACCCATGGATTCGATATTTATCACTTGAGCCACTATACTGCAGTCCCTTTCATTGGTTACACTTGGCCTTTGTTAGGTGTTGTGTTTTAGCGAGTCAAGTTTTTGGCGCCGTTGCCGGGGACTTTCTAGAGTATTAGGAAAGGCAGAAGTTTGTCACTTTAGTGTTTTTCGTTTCTTTTCTTTTCCACCCTTGCTTTTCACTTGGGTGTTTTTGTTTTTGTTGGTGCAGATCTGAATCATGGATCCTAATGGCTTCTCCAATCATTGGGGGTATCCACCACCATCTGGGTGGTATTACCCCGAGACTCCGTGGAGCAATCAAGGCGGAGAAGACTATGGATTCGGGTTTCAGTACCAACCCCCTTACTACGGAGAACAACCGGACCCCTGGGCATATCAAGAACAACCTCATTATCAAGAAGAATTTCTCCCACAACCAGAAGGGCCATCGGCACTGGAGTTACTCATGGAGCAGTATGCTCGAGACTGTGAGAGAACATGCTCCAGGATGGATCAGTGTGTCCAGGCCTATCGTGAAACAGATGAGATCCTCCTGAGCCTTAAGAAGAGCGTCGATGATCTTGAGCGATCTTGGGCGCAACCTGCTCCAGATCACCCTTCTGCTACCATACAAGAAGAGGAGGAGGAAGAAGAAGGCTACAAGGGCATTGTGGAACACACTGAAGTTGTCACGGAGAGCTCCCGTGATGATCATGATGAGGCCTGTCATGTCGTAGCCGACCACACCTTCCCACACCCCAAACTGAGCTTTGAAGAGGCGGGCATGAGTGAGGAGATGCAAGAAGATCTCATGAAAGAAATTGCTTGGCAACTTGCTCTCCAATCTGTGCTAGAAGAAGAAGAGCAAGAAAGGGTGCAGAAAGAAGTTGTGGAGGATGACGAAAGTGAAGCAGGAGGAGTTCTTGATCATTTCCCAGGGGTGATACCACACGAACAAGTAAGGGAGGTTGAAGAAGCAATTGGCGTCCAGGCTGAGGACGGAGTTAAGGTGGAAGAGGCCTGCACCGGCCATGAGTTACATGTGATATCTCCACCAAACTTTGAGGAACTGCTTAGCAAGGACCCATTTGCAGTGTCTCTTTGCCAGACCAAGGCCACATCGACATCGGTCCCTCTTGGTGGACGCGATGGTGGCCAATCGATACTGTCATATCTGGTTTGGGGCAATGAGACGAGAGAAGAGAAGGAGAGGTCTCGAGGGTGGAGACTTCATCTGCATCAAGTACATGAGCCTTCATCACCTGCCACATCACATGCTCATGACTTGAGACTCCACCTCATCGACGAGAACCTCAACTTCAAGGAGGTTCTAGCATGGACCGAAACTTAGGAGCCATCGTCCGGCTCACGACGTGAAAGAAGCGCTTGTTGGGAGGCAACCCAACCAGTCGGTTTGCATTTCTGTCTCTATTTCTCCTCGGTTGAGTCAGTTTGCTATTTGATTTTAGAGTCAATAACTCAACCTTTGTGATATTTTGTGTGGTGTTTGTGTTCTGATTACTCTCTCTTTCTGGATGGCACCACCTGACCCGTTCATCATCATTCACCCTTGATCTGGTAACTTCGTTCTACCGTCCTTATCTTTCCTCCATTGAGGACAATGTCGTGCTTAAGTGTGGGGGGATGTTCGATTATGTATGCGGGTGAATGTTTGGCTGTTTGTGTGCTTGGATCCTAGTCCACTGTCCAAATTTTTATGCGGGTGAATGTTTGGCTGTTTGTGTGCTTGGAGCCTAGTCCACTGTCCAAATTTTTAAATTTTTAAATTTGAGGGCTCCAAGTACGTGTTCCATGCAATTGCCTGCTCAGTATGCTTTGAATTGACAGTCTCTATAGTAATATGCAACCTAGGGAGGTAGTGTAGCACTGTGGAGGATGTTGATGCATTTAAGAAGTCTCATGTCTTCTTCATATTGAGTTGGTTGATTGAGTGAATTAGTGATCTTAGGACCCTTGAATTGTGTGGTGTTGTGGATTCTCTACCTGTCATGGACTCTTGTATCATGTTTTGAAAGTAACAGGTGCTCGAAAATGTGCTTCAAAATAACGTCTCCCGTGCGAATAGGGCGAAAGTGTGTAAGGGGAGACGGGAATTCGTTCCCAATTTCCACCTACTACCTCCAGCCCCCTTACACGTCTTTCCCCCGCACGAGGCTCGAGACATCCGCTCCTGGCATGGCCGGTAAGAGCAGGTTGGGACCCTTGAAAAAAAAAGAGTAAAGAAAAAATAACAGAAAACAAGCAAAACAGAAAGAAAAGGGGTTCCAACCATCTTCAAAGAAAATAGAGCACCTTGAAAAATGTGATCCATGATCCTTTGTTTTTTAGAATCTCTTCATCCACAATTCATTTGTCCTCTGTTCACTATTTGCCATGATGCCGACTCGATACTAGTGCTCTCGCCGAAGAAGCTATGAGATGACTTGTGTGTCGGTTGACCTCGTAAGCTGCTAAACGATCTAGGAAGTCCTCTACCTACGATCTGGGTTGTTTGTTGCTATAGAGGTCTGGAGAGTTGCATTGGTTTGAGTTAGGTTTGCTTGGGGACAAGCAAACGGTTAAGTGTGGGGGAGTTTGATAGACCGTCATTTACACATGTTTTTACC